TAGCAACTGTCAGCATACTGCTGGTGCAACTATATAGAACAAATGCTGGCAAGCTACTACGAGCAGTTTAATATTTTGCTCATATTGCGTTTTGCTCATATTTAGTGTGTATTTACAATCATGTAACATTACGATATGTGCAGTGCTCATCACATATAAATAAAAAAGACAGATATACACAGAAAACCCCCCACAGACGACTAGTTAGGCTTGCTTCGCTCCCCAGTTACCACACTGGGCTGGCCACTCCAGCTGCTGCACATTGCAAAAAACCGACACACATACTTGCAAACCAAGTAATCCTCACTGCACATCCCTACAGAGGAAGCTTTTGGACAGTGCTTCCTTATGTACATTGTGTGTGTTGGTGGTATCTACATACAAGCTGGTTAACCTGTACAAGGCAGGGCTTCAATGTGAGCTTGCTCTAGCCTTACACATGTCGATAGAGGGGTGTGGTCAGAATTGACCTCTGACCTGTGAGTGAGGAGTCTGTTGTCACTGGAAGCGGTGAAGAGGGAGGTGTGGAGGTGCCGGGGGAGAGCTCCCTCTGCCAGCGCCAGGTCCTGCATCTTCTTTGCCATCTCCGGTGTCCCCTCCTGGCGAGACCACACCCACGACACGTGGACAGACAGTGATGTAATGATGATGTAATGCTCACCTCAATGATGGCCTTCATGATAAGTCCAGCAGCCTTCACAATGGCCAGAGAAGGGTGCTGAGGAAGAGAAAAATCAACAAAGAATGACTGAGCAAATGTAAAGAGCTATTTACACATGTGTTAACAACAGGCTGCATGGCAAAGATAAATAAAAACAACACAACTACAAGGAAAAAAGAAGACCTACCCTGGGTGGGATTCGAACCCAGGACAGTCTGCAGTCTAGGTGAGTGCTCAACTAGCCGAGCTCAGCAGGTTGTCGAGGTTGGTGTATGTGGTTCAACTTGCAAAGTAATGTGTGATCTTATTCCTATTCCCGATTACGTTTAATACCTGAAAGAGTTTGAACACTGTTCTTCCCAGACCTGCAGAGGGAGAGAATATTTAACATTATACACACCACTACCAGTGGTAAACTTATTATTTTTACTTCCAAGTTTGCAGCACCTTTCAATAAATCATGACTATTGTAAAGTAGGGAGAGTATATTTACAGGGAAATAATTAACAATTGACAATACAGTGAATGAGTACTGTGTTATAATGGAGATGTATGTATTATAATGGAGATGTACTGAACGTACTGTATGTGTTATAATGGAGACAGACCAGAAATGAGCTCCAAAACCATGTCAAACTTCTCTGCTTCAGTTGTCTCACTGAAAGTAGAGATAATACATCAGTACAATGAGCACCACATATACAGCGTACATGGATGAATATACTTTAAACAGAAAGTGACATTGTAAATATTAGTCCTTTTATAGTGTGTATGTACTGTATGTACAGTACAACCCTGTAGGGAGGACAGAGAGCAAATGTGAAGAAATCGAGAATGGAGCTGACTAACACCACTGGGACAGAGATGGAGAGGGGGAGGGGGGAGGAGGGAGGGAGGGAGGGAGGGAGGGAGGGAGGGAGAGAGGGAGGAAGAGAGAGCAAGTATGATCGGGAGGTCCCAGACCCATGACCCATATACTCTCCCTTGTGAGCCTTTACAGTACTGCATAGTGTTGCATTCTTTCTCAACGGAAACAGATGAACATGAGTTGTCTACCAGTGTTGGCTGGATATTTCACGTCCCCTCACCTGATTGGTGACTTCATGAGTGTTGGGGTTGTAGGTAGTGATTGCCTTTGTCCCTATGGGGAACACCCTCTTGTACCTGTACATTATAGCACAGACAGACCAGATCAAGAAGGTCAAGGGAGATGATACATATAAGTTAGATGCTGATTCAAGGTAACTATGTGCAGTAGAAAGCCAAGAGCCGCGGCATTGGTGTGCCCCGAGGGCCAGGCGTCGAGGTTTTCTACAGGAAACAGTAAACCTCGGCTTTTCTTGCAGTCTGATTGGTCAATTCGAACCTGTAGCTCACTCTAAATATATCACTCCTTCATTTATAATGACAAATGGATATTTATGACAAGGAGAGGTGGCGAAAGCCATGTCCTGTGTGCAATGAAAGGTTCACCTAAACGTCAAGAGGCTCTCAAGGAGAAGTGATTGCCTCTCTCCACCTTACATTAGCGAGGGAAAAGTGGGTTGATTACTGGTATTAGATACACACACACACATCATCTGTGTGTATGCATGGTAGACATATGTACGCGGGTGTCCTGAGTGGTTGTGCTGTCTGTCTCTAATGCGCTGCTCGCAGACACTATCACATCACTAATCCACTTTGCCCCTCCCCTCTCCCTCCCCCCACTCTCTCCCCGGCCCTCAGCGAGCCTCCTGCGCGCACGCAGCTGCCCCAGCAGCCACCCGCCCCCTCCTCGCCAGACTCACTTGCCCCTCCACGAGTGCTTGGTGCAGTAGAACTTGGCCACGTCTTCGTTCCCCTGCGCAATTCCCCGCTCCTCGGTCCTCCACACACTCTCTACCTGCGCGAGGAGGTCAGGGAAGCCACTAGATGAAATCTTATCAGCTCAGTTTACTCGCAGCTAGCTAGGCTATGGCTTGACAGTCAAGAACACCCTTCGTAGAGGAACGTCCATGAATCTCTTCTACACTCACGTGAAACCTTGAAGGTACAAAGGTCAAGACACTCGCACAAACTCTTGGACCAGCCTCAGCCCGTGCGCATGCGTTCTAAACAGTCAACTTCGTCGTCCCCGGCCCCCCTGCTGACGGGTTGTATCACGAAATTAAATTTCCAAGCAGATGATATTGTATTCTTGCAAGGATAGAGAGCTGCGAGAACTGCTGCTGCAAAGTGAAAAAAGGAGTCGAGAAAATCCATAACTAAGTGGAATGACTCATAAAGTCGATTGTCGTTTCTTTGGTTCTCCCCTGTGTGCATAACTCATTCCCCAGCCCTTGAAAATGAATTAATCATGAGCTCTTTGCGAATATTACGTCATCATTACACTTAATGGTTAGAACTATTCTCTTTACGTTACACTGAACTATTATTGGCATAGGTGTTGGCCCAAAGAATAAGTTCAAAGAGTGGAGTGCGGACCCCACTGGTGTTTAGGTAAAGTGTCAACAATTATGTAGCAGGAGTTATATACAATACACAGCATCCTATCCATAGATAGGCATGCGCAGTAAACAAGAAATCGATCAAATCATGTATGTATCTAACAAATGGACATGTTACATGATTGAATCGCACACCAGCGGTACAAAAAGTACTATATATTTGAGGGTGAAAAACTAACTAAACAAAAGGGTGCAGAATAGATAGTTACAAACTCAATAACAAAATAATATCATTTCGTGTTGTTGTGATGCACACAATAGTAGGCATGGCAACAGAGTGCAAAGTTCAAATCAGTGTAGGCCACGATAAGGACCCTGGTACTTGAGATGCTGTAAGAGGGAAGGAGAGAGGAGATGGTATATAAAAGAAAGGGTTAACTTCCGTGCAAGCTCAATAATTATAACTCAACTTGTCTAAACACCCTAAAAGTAGTTTATGAATACCAACTTCAGGCCATTGTTTATTCAGAGGCCGTCCTTATTTGGAAGAATTCCCAGAGATGCACTAATGTATATACACGAGGCAGAACGAAGTGTCCCTTATAGAGATGTCCTTTGATGAGTGACCATCATCTAGCATCCAGACGACTAGTTAGGCTGACTTTGCTAACAAATTAAAAGTGAGATGTATACGTAGGGAGGGAGGAAGGGAAAGAGGGGAGGGGCAGACCTATCTCAGCTAGCTGGTATCTCCAGTAGATTGTTCTCCCCTGCACTGAGGTGTTGGAGGTTCAGTAACAACCTGGACATGGGGTGGTTATGTAACATCACCGTGGTGACTGTTTCCATGGTAACGGGTTTACCCGAGGCCCCTGGGGAGACTAGTGATGCGATTGGACTGGACGTTCAGTTTGGTGAGCTCTCTTAGGTAGCCTCAAAGAGAGGAGAGAGGGGAGAGGGGAGAGAGGGGAGATGGGGGAGGGGAGATGGGGGAGTGGAAAGAGGGGAGAGGGGAGATGGGAGAGTGGAGAAGGGAGAGAGGGGGAGAGAGGTGAAGTTGGAGTGAGCAAATGAGGTAATAATGACTAAATCCTGGACTGGACTGGACAACACTGGCAATGATTTCAAGTAGTAGAATGACGTTTAATTTTTCACCGAGTATCTAGAAACACGTAAAGCATTTCAGTATGTGCAGTGCCCGTCACATGCAGACAGAGAAAGATATAATATATATATATATATACATTCAGATGAACTAGGTAGGCTCGCTTTGTTTGCCAACAATAGGACAAAGAGAGAGAGAGAGAGAGAGTGAGAAGGAGAGTGCCAGAATCTGTGGAGCTAGGGAAGACGCTCACATGTACGTATTAAACAGAATACAATAGGACAGAGAGAGAAGGAAGAGTGGAGTATATACCAGTACTCTGTGGAGGAGGGCATTAGCAGTGGGGTTCCCAGTCACCCAGAGTCCCACCAGATGACGACTCAGCTGTCTGCAGAGAGAGAGAGAGAGTGAACTTTTGAGGAGGCTGCAGACAGAAAGAGGGTTAATAAAAAGTACTAAGGTGCAAACCCTCAGCGCATGAAACATGAAACCCACATGCATGTGCTGTATCACCAATTAATCGCCTATTCACAGTCGTAAATCAATGTGCAGTGAGACGATGTTCTGCGCTGTTCAGACAACTAAGTCAGCTCGCTCCCACTTGTCAATAGAAATCACTGACTGAGTACAAAAGTTTATACTTATCACAATATAATATGTATATACAAGCACAAACAAAAGTACAGGTGGGTTTTTGTGTTGTTGTGTTATTAGGTGAAGATCTGTATACGATGGTTCCCAAAGTCACTGACATACACTGTTCCTTTCTTGTCTATTGCTAGTCCAAATGGATGATCAAACTCCACAGGACCTTTTCCCTGTCTTCCAACTGACTTGATAAACTCTCCATCAGTAGAGAATATTGATATACGATTGTTCCCCCGTTCACTAACATACACTACATTGCCAGAGTCAATAGCAATAGTGACTGGATCGTTTAGTTCTCCCTCTCCTTCTCCCTTCTTCCCAAACTGCTTCAAATAGACTCCATTGACTGTGAAGACCTGGATTCTGTGGTTGTACTTATCAGCTACATACACATTGCCATCTCCGTCTGTAGAGACATCATAAGGCCAGCTGAACTCTCCATTGTTAGAGCCCTTCCTGCCAAAACTACTGGAGTATGTGAGATCGGAGTTTAGAACCTGAATTCTGTGGTTGTGACAGTCAGCAACATACACCTTGCCAGTGTGAGGATGAACTGTAATGCCTACTGGACTCTGGAACTGAAGAGGTCCACTGCCCCGGGTACCGACTGTTCTAAGGTGTTTGCCAGTGGACGACAACTGCTGAATACGATGATTCCCATAGTCAGCCACAAGAATGCTTCCCCCATTGTCTATTGCTATACCTTCAGGCCAGTCGAACTGACCAGGACCCGAGCCAGAAGTACCAAATGATTTCTTCTCTCCATTTCCACTGATGATTGATATGCAGTTACTACTCCGTTCTGCTACTACAACCTCTCCTCCCTCCCTAACTGCTATACCATATGGTGCATTGAGGTCTCCAGTGATGTTGGTAGGGGCAGTGAAGTTGGGTAGAACGGTGACAGTGAACGGACTGTTCAAGGTCGGGTGCTCTTCTATTAGAATGTGCAGTTGATGTTCCCCAGTGACCTGAGGCAGGTAGCTGATGTCGTAGATGTTCTGATTTCTTCTCTTCACAGTGCTCCTGACTCGACTGCTGCCATCGCTAGCAACTAGCTCACACCTCAAGCTGTCTACATGTTTGAGGCAGGCTTCTCCCTCCCTATCTAAAGCCTCTACAGAGACAGCTGCTGTTTGCCCTCTCATGGCTACTTTGATGCCCTCACCCGAGGTTCGACACTTCTTAGGGCAAACTGGATGACAGTACACCTTACCAAACTGCTGGCAAGTCTTCACCAGTTCAGGCAGATTGTGAGCAAACTTCATATCGGCTTGCTCGGCAAGGGCCAATGTCTCTGGCTTGAAGCTACCTGTCAGGTCGTTGAGTTGTTTCACGAGAGGACTCTTCGTCCTCAGAATCTCCCCCTGGCTGCAAGTACGTTGGCTCTCCTCCACAAAGTCCTGGCAGCTCCTCAGCTGGCCCAGTTGCAGTTCAAACCCGTCCCGCTGTGCTGCCAAGGTCTTCAGTTTCTGCTGTGCCGTCTGCTCTGCTTGACCCACCAGCTCTGTCTCCCTCGCCTCTAGAGCTTGTCGCAGGTGTGCCATGGCAGTCCGGATCTCTGCCACCGCAGCCGTCTTCCGTTCTACGACTAGAGCACACTGAGTGTTCACCGACTCAACGGCTATTTCTAACGTAGCAATCTGTTCTTCCACTGGCTTGAGAGAGTCCACGATCACTTTCTCTTGCTTGGCAAACGACTCGGGCACCAGATCATACTGGTGGTCACGATGAACACGAACGATGCAGTCTCGACATATCAACTCGTCGCACGTCTCGCAGTAGAGGTCTGCCTCCTTTGATGGATGAGTGGCACAAAAGAGAGTCTTCTTGAGAGAAGGAATGAGGGTGGTGACATCTCCAGTCAAGGTGTCTAGGTCGATAAATTCGTGGGTTTTCAATTCATCCCAATTCTGATGGATTTCCTTGCAGCGCTGGCATGCAAACCCGCAAGTGCGACAAAAACAAACAGCTTCGAACTTCTTGCACTTGTTGCACATGGTTTGGTCGCTGGAGCTAACTTTCTTGAGGGCGTCTTGGATGTCGAAGAGGTAGTGGATGTAGAAGGCTCCTTGGAGCCCCGGGACTCCACCCACTGGCAGTGGAGTGTCCTGGCGACATTGTGGACATGGGAGACTCTGTCCATCTCGTCCCCTACGTACCAGACGTTGCAGGCACTGCTCGCAATACACGTGGAAACACTTGAGCAGCCTCGGCTGTTTGTAGGGCTCCAGACATATCCCACAGGTGACCTGGTCCTGGATCTTCTGGAGAGCTTTCTCGGCAGCAGTGGAGGGTTTGGCAGCCATGGCTCTGTCAGTAGTGCAGCAGACAAGCTAGAGAGAGGGTCTAGTGAAGACTGAGGCAAGCAAGCTTCTCAAGAAAGAAGCAAGCAAAGGCGGTGGGCAACTTCAAGAAATGGGTGAAACTGAGGCTAACAGGAAACAGCCCTTGCACTTTCTGTCACTCTACCAATATTTACAGCCTTAGATCTGCAGCCCTATTGCATACCAGACCTTATTTGGAGATTCCAGTGAGACAGAACAGTGAGACAGAATACTGAAACAAGTGGTTGATTGTAGGACTGCCTATCACATTACCAAGTGTGTCAAACACACTGATCAGCGATAGCAACTGTCAGCATACTGGCTGGTGCAACTATATAGAACAAATGCTGGCAAGCTACTACGAGCAGTTTAATATTTTGCTCATATTGCGTTTTGCTCATATTTAGTGTGTATTTACAATCATGTAACATTACGATATGTGCAGTGCTCATCACATATAAATAAAAAAGACAGATATACACAGAAACCCCCCACAGACGACTAGTTAGGCTTGCTTCGCTCCCCAGTTACCACAGCTAATTGACGGGCTGGCCACTCCAGCTGCTGCACATTGCAAAAAACCGACACACACTTGCAAACCAAGTAATCCTCACTGCACATCCCCACAGAGGAAGCTTTTGGACAGTGCTTCCTTATGTACATTGTGTGTGTTGGTGGTATCTACATACAAGCTGGTTAACCTGTACAAGCCAGGGTTTCAATGTGAGCTTGCTCTAGCCTTACACATGTCGATAGAGGGTGTGGTCGGGAATTGACCCCTGACCTGTGAGTGAGGAGTCTGTTGTCACTGGAAGCGGTGAAGAGGGAGGTGTGGAGGTGTCGCGGGAGAGCTCCCTCTGCCAGCGCCAGGTCCTGCATCTTCTTTGCCATCTCCGGTGTCCCCTCCTGGCGAGACCACACCCACGACACGTGGACAGACAGTGATGTAATGATGATGTAATGCTCACCTCAATGATGGCCTTCATGATAAGTCCAGCAGCCTTCACAATGGCCAGAGAAGGGTGCTGAGGAAGAGAAAAATCAACAAAGAATGACTGAGCAAATGTAAAGAGCTATTTACACATGTGTTAACAACAGGCTGCATGGCAAAGATAAATACAACTACAAGAAAAAAATAGTTGCCCTGGGTGGGATTCGAACCGAGGACAGTCTGCAGTCTAGGTGAGCGCTCAACTAGCTGAGCTCAGCAGGTTGTCGAGGTTGTAGGTGTATGTGGTTCAACTTGCAAAGCAATATGTAATCTTAGTTCCTCCAGATTACGTTTAATACCTGAAAGAGTTTGAACACTGTTCTTCCCAGACCTGCAGAGGAAGAGAATACTTAACATTATACTCACCACAACCAGTGGTAAACTTATTGTATACTTCCACGTGCACCTTCATAGTCATGGTTTATTGAAGGTGCACGTGGAAGTATACAATAAGAGGAACTAAGACAGTCTGTACTGATCTCCCTACTTTACAACAGTCAGTAAAGTAGGGAGATCAGTACAGTCGTTCCGCCAACGGATTTTCACGTGATTTTTATTTGCGCAATGACGTCATATTCGGACGTTCAGGGAACCAGAAAGGTCTGTGGAGAAGCTGCGTGGCACGGAGCCGTGCGGTAACTCTGAGAGGTAAGCCACGGGAATCAGTTAGATTTAGGGTTATACTGCTAGATTTTCGTCTGACTTGGACGAGTGGCCGGTGTTTATGTGCCTCCACTTCGGTCAAAAATGCCCGTTGTGTACGGTCTCAGTTATCCGTATGTAGCTCTTGTTGTTTTTGCCAGAACAGTTTGTTGTTGATACATGTTGTAAAGCTACCACTATTGTACGTGGCTGTGAAGTATAAAAAATATATGACTTTCAGAAAAAAAAGTTTATGCGGAATTAGTAATCATCATTTGTAGGTTGTGGCCAGTACAGTATGTAGTTCAGTTATTGTGGTGCTTTGTGGCAGATGGAGATCTACTTTTTTTTTCTTGGGAGCTGATTATTATGGGGCGCCATCCGTTCCAAAAGTCCCAGTGTTAGGTTTTATGTATATAGACGTGTCACTTTCTATATAGACTGGTCTAAAAACATATGGACTGGTTTATATATATACAGCACGTCCGATATATATATCAGCACGTGTATATGCAAATTTATCCTCTTATTTACTTATAATCTTCTTTCACCTGCGACAGACATCGTGTTACGCGCGCTTTCTGGTACGCGCATGCGCAGTAGATTATACGCAAACGCGACAGAATATACTCTTATCGACAAGTTGGGACCTTAGGAACAGATGGCGCCATTGTTGCAAGCAGCTTTTTCGAAATCTGTAGATGAGAGAAGATTATAAGTAAATAAGCGGATAAATTTGCGTTTTAGCCGTCAGTTAGTGTCAAGAGCAGCAATGCATAATCACTCTACCACACAGGACTATACAAGCCTCAATCACTGAAGAGGAAAAGAAAGCCACCAGACCGGCACTCTTGACATGCATATAGCTAACTGACAGCTAAAACGCGACTCATGAATTGCTATTTAATAAAGCAAACACCAATGACAATTTGACTACAGTGTATAAAGTGACAGTGTCTCTCATTAACAAACTCCTGTGCACTGGTGGGCACAGAGGACACTGAGGACTCAGCAGACACAGAGGACTCAGCAGACACAGAGGACTCAGCAGACACAGAAGACACAAGGGACACAGAGGACTCAGCAGACACAGCCGACACAGAATGACACAAGGGACACACGACCGACACAGAGGACTCGGCAGACACAGAAGACACAAGGGACACAGCACGACACAGAGGACTCGCGCCAGCACAGAAGACACAAGGGACACAGCCAGACACAGAGGACTCGGCCAGACACAAAGGACACAGCCGACACAGAGGACTCGGCAGACACAGAAGACACAAGGGACACAGCCGACACAGAGGACTCGGCAGACACAGAAGACACAAGGGACACAGCCGACACAGAGGACTCGGCAGACACAGAGGACTCAGCAGACACAGAAGACACAAGGGACACAGAGGACTCAGCAGACACAGAGGACTCAGCAGACACAGAAAGACCACAAGGGACACAGAGGACTCAGCAGACACAGCCGACACAGAAGACACAAGGGACACAGCCGACACAGAGGACTCGGCAGACACAGAGGACTCAGCAGACACAGAAGACACAAGGGACACAGAGGACTCAGCAGACACAGAGGACTCAGCAGACACAGAAGACACAAGGGACACAGAGGACTCAGCAGACACAGCCGACACAGAAGACACAAGGGACACAGCCGACACAGAGGACTCGGCAGACACAGAAGACAAAAGGGACACAGAGGACTCAGCAGACACAAGGGACACAGAGGACTCAGCAGACACAGAAGACACAAGGGACACAGCCGACACAGAGGGCTCAGCAGACACAAGGGACACAGCAGACACAGAGGACTCGGCAGACACAGCAGACAAAGCAGACACAAGGGACACAGCCAACACAGAGGACTCGGCAGACACAAGGGACACAGCAGACACAGAGGACTCAGCAGACACAGAGGACTCGGCAGACACAGAAGACAAAAGGGACACAGAGGACTCAGCAGACACAAGGGACACAGAGGACTCAGCAGACACAGAAGACACAAGGGGCACAGCCGACACAGAGGACTCGGCAGACACAAAGGACACAGCCGACACAGAGGACTCGGCAGACACAGAAGACAAAAGGGACACAGAGGACTCAGCAGACACAAGGGACACAGAGGACTCAGCAGACACAGAAGACACAAGGGACACAGCCGACACAGAGGGCTCAGCAGACACAAGGGACACAGCAGACACAGAGGACTCGGCAGACACAGCAGACAAAAGGGACACAGCCAACACAGAGGACTCGGCAGACACAAGGGACACAGCAGACACAGAGGACTCAGCAGACACAGCAGACACAAGGGGCACAGCCGACACAGAGGACTCGGCAGACACAAAGGACACAGCCGACACAGAGGACTCAGCAGACACAGCAGACACAAGGGACACAGCCGACACAGAGGACTCGGCAGACACAGAAGACACAAGGGACACAGCCGACACAGAGGACTCGGCAGACACAGAAGACACAAGGGACACAGCCGACACAGAGGACTCGGCAGACACAGCAGACACAAGGGACACAGCCGACACAGAGGACTCGGCAGACACAGAAGACACAAAGGACACAGCCGACACAGAGGACTCGGCAGACACAGTGTTCCCGTGTATTCGCATGCTTATTAGCGGTGCGCAGCGTGACCTTTAACCCGGTTAGGATGTACGTCCGTATATACATAACGAGACTCCTATATATAGGCCTAGCGCTGAGCGGGGGTCCCGCGTTTGAGGCGCGCGGCGGGCCACGTACGTGCGCGCGCGCGTGCGCATTAGGGCATGGCATGCAAGGGCCGGCCACCACCGCCGCCGCGCCACGATCGTACAGCGCGCGCGCGGTGCAGTGCCGCAGCTAGCTAATAAGCGACGCGACCTACACTTGATGAAGCTGGTCCTGTCAAGAAGAAGATGAAGAATTTCTCTAATAAACTTACCACTACGTTCAATTAGGTACATATGTATTATAATTAAGTAGGCAAAAAAATTCTGGGGTTTACAACAGGATCCCTATATACGAGGCACAGAAACCAACTTGGACAGTGCATTTCCCAGCCCTTCAAAATGAACTAATCATGAAGCTCTTTGAAAAATTATGTCATCATTACGCTTAATGGTTAGAACCATTCTCTTTACGTTGCACAAGGAAAGGTCGCTCTGAAATATTATACACACTGTCACCTGCAGCAAATTGGCGTAAGTGTTGGCCCAAAGAATAAGTTAAAGAGTGGAGTCACTGGTGTTGTTTAGATAAAGTGTCAACAATGATAGCAAGAGTTACATTACACGGCGTCCTATCCATAGGCATGCGCAGTAAACAAGAAATCGATCATAATCATGTATGTATCTAACAAATGGACATGTTACATGATTGAATCGCACACCAGCGGTACAAAAAGTACTATTTGAGGGTGAAAAACTAACTAAACAAAAGGGTGCAGAATAGATAGTTACAAACTCAATAACAAAATAATATCATTTCGTGTTGTTGTGATGCACACAGTAGTAGGCATGGCAACAGGGTGCAAAGTTCAAGTCAGTGTAGGCCACGATAAGGACCCTGGTACTTGAGATGCTGTAAGAGGGGAGAAAGAAGAGAGAAGAGAGGAGAGGGTTAATTTTCAAAGCAACAACTGGGCTAAACACCCTAAAAGTAATAACAACTTCAGGCCATTGTTTATTCAGAGGCAATCCCTTTTTTGGAAGAATTCCTATATAGAGATGCACTAATCTACACGAGGCAGAACGAATTGTCCCTTATAGAGATGCTTTATTTTGGAGCGTCTTTTTTAGTATAATATTTGACGTGCAACAGCCATAGAATGCACCAGGCAGTGTCTAGTAGCCATACTGCAACAAAACTATATGCAGTATTGTATAAAGTACCTGGATAATTGAGGAGGGTCCCACGTCGACGACGTGTGGAGGGAGTCTGTGAGCGGACAGCCCTCCACACTCATGAGGGCAAGCTTCTTGCAGAGGGCCAGTTCATAGGGCAGGGTCTGCAGGTTGGGGTTGTCGTTGATGTACAGCTCCTCCAGGTTCTCCAGAGTGCCTGGGGTGGGGTGGGGAAATGTATACTAGAAGGAAGGAGAACACATTGTTGGCGAGTAGTGAGTGTGAGCAGTTCAATTTTTCACGTGTATTTAGCTTAGAATGATGTTCAATTTATGTGGGTATGTAGAATGACGTAGAGAATATTACGGTATAGGGAGTGCCCGTCATCAGGCATCCAGACGACTAGTTAGGCGACTTTGATGGCAATTAAAAATGAGGTAGGGAGGGAGGAAGAAGGGAAAGGCAGACCTATTCAGCTGGTATTCCAGTAGATTGTTTCTCGCGCACTGAGTGTTGGAGGTTCAGTAACAACCTGAAATGGGGTGGTTATGTAACATCCACCGTGGTGAATGTTTCCATGGTAACAGACTCACCGGGCCCCTGGGGAGAGATTGATGCGATTGGACTGGACGTTCAGTT